TAGAAGGAGAACGGACAGCATGATGATGGTAGGGAGTATATCAGAGAGTTAGGGAGAGTGGACGGTGGACAGAGAGCTAGAGAGATCGATGAGGATGGCCGTTTCTCTCTAGGAACGAGTCCCCACCCTGCGCTCCTGTGCTTCATTGACCACACGTTCTATCATCAATCTGCACATATGCATATTTTTTTCATCGCCAGCCAAACTGAAAAAAAGACAAACGGAAATTAATAAAATTTCATTTGAGCAACAACTCTTCAAAACATACGCAAACCTGATAAGCCTTGTTCCAACTGGTAAATCTGCCTTTGCATCCCTCTTGAACACCTGAACTTTGCATCCACTGTAAAACTGTATTTCCTGCAGCGTTTTCGCTTTCGGACCCAATACCGCACCGACAATAGTGTCGGGAACCTATAAACAATGCGCGAAATGTGTTAAAGAATCAACTGAAAGAAAACCAGGAGCAGTTTGGAACCCGAAGTTCTGAAGGTAAAATAAATTCATTAGAAGAAGAACCCAAAAAGAAACCATGGTCTTCGATTCAATCGCTCTACCACAGCATGGGATATGCTTCCTTGCCAATACTTATCTCTATATTTACCTCTAGTTCAATCGAATCGCTGGAAATGCGACGCTCGACCATAACAGATGCTGCGAAATTTTCACCGTTTGCTGCAGCTCCTGACCCACTTCGCAACACATCCACCAAGAGCAGATTGACAGCAGGAGGCTAGGCAGATAATAATAATAATCATTTACTATATTTGCACGTGATGGTAGTTATGAAATTTCTCCGTCTTATGACGTAAGAAGTAGTGAAAATTTCCTCAATCTTAGGCAACGTTCATAGCTCGCGACATGTGCAATTCGACGACTGTGCCGAAAGGAATGCACAAGTACTACTAAAGGATCGACTAAAGGATCGTAGATACACCAAATCGACGAAAGATCATAAGGTGGTGCTATCTGAAAATCCACACTTGTTCCTTTCAACGAGACCGTCGAATCGTTTAATAACATGACCGCCGATTTTTCAATGCCTTCTTTTCAGCGCAATGATCGGATTTAATTGAGTAGCAAACCAATATAGAATCAACCCCAGAAACTTTATGTTAAAGATAACAAAAATAAAATAACAACAATGAGCGAGGTTTCAAAAAAACTGTTAAGAGCATAAATGATCAAATAGAAAAACAAATGAATACACAAAGAACTGGAGATATTTTACGTTAGATCAGTACAAAATGAAAAAGTTACGAGCCTCGACGTCTCTTAGGCAAATACCCTTCCCTTCATGTCCAGAAATAAAAGCTACTTACCTGGTCGCCGCCGGCATGTCCACCATGATCACCAAAACCAGCAACACCATGATTAGCCGAAATCTGTGGGGCCTCCGCTGATCGCATTTGCGCCATTGCCGCAACGCCTAGTCCAAGACCAAGGCCCATAATGTTGTACTTAGCGAGCACCTTAAACATATCTATAAATAAGCGATAATCAAGCAGCATTTTATAGAAATTGTTGTTTTACCTGCATGGCCTGCATCACCTCAGCTACGCTCGCCTCGTTGAAGCCAGATGAGCGAAGAGTTGACTGAAGATTGTCGAGGAACGATAGAAGCTGAACAGCTGGATTTCTTAAAGTTCTAAGCAAATCGAAACTGAACGCTAGACCCTTGGCCTAAATGGATATTTTTCCTGTGTGCGGCCGTTCGAGCCATACCACAAGGGACCCAATTCTCTACCCAAGCATCCAACTCTTCTTGGGTAATCGTTTGTATTTATGATTTCGATGTTGCCAATAATGGTGAGGATTGGTACACACTTCGCTTCAAAACCTCCAAACTGACCGCTTGACCGTTCCTCATGAACTGTTAGAAATTTGGCGATGGTAGAATTCAGTGACAGTGACAAAACATCTAACATCTGCAGGCAATTCAAATTTTTTTTTGGGCTTTCAAGAATTTTTCAGCAGTATTGTGGTTATCAATAGACGAATAGAATAGCAGTACATATTATGTGAAATTTGCGAGATCACATGCAATCAACCTACGGCTCCAGCCCTAACGAGGTTACAACTTTTAGCCGAACATAAGATACAAAATCGAGTTAGAGCTAAGTACATGACACCAGAACTACCATCACTTATATTCTTGCATGAATTTTGAACGGAAGACATGAATCGATCCAGCATTTCTTTCACTGGGTCCGTCGGTGGAAGAATTGTTGTTCAGAGGTGATTCCTTCCATTCAAACAAAACCGATACCAGGCACAATGCAGACACCAGTTGAATCTAACAGCTGCATCGCATAGAAGAAATCCTGTTCCATGTTCAAAGACCTAGCCTTCTCTATAGCACGTGGAGATAACAGCAGCGTGGGAACGCAAATGTTGCTCCCCGCATGTCATTGCAAGAATGTCAAAAATTTGAATGTGGAACAGATACGTAGATCGTGTGATCGCATCGCTTGCACAACCGATATGTATCCCCTCCACATCCGAACTGTAAGCCAAACTGCGAAGTGATTCGTTCTTAAGAGTCGACTAAAAAAATCCAACCCGTGGCAGATTATTTTAGTAGGAACGCTACTTAGCTATTGAAATGCGAATTCGTTAGACCAACTGCACCGTTGCCAATAAAGGAGCAAAAAGTTTTAATAGACAGCAACTAGCACCTGAGTGACAGAGCGTCCCCTGGTAAATGAAGAGAAACATTCAAGCAAGAAATATGTACTTCGCTCTTCCGAAAAGCTATAACTACTCTATCCCAACAAATACCTCATGATTTCCAAGTCCACCCATAGGATTGAACTTCATCGCCTGCTGCTGACTCCCTTGATGCCCGAATGACTGAGATGAAAACACAGAAGGCGCTGAGTTGAACGAAGAAGCACCACCATTACTGAAGACGGAGCTGGACGTGAACGACGCATTCCCAGTCGGAAATCAAAAAGTTTGGAAAACAAAGGTTACTTAAAAGAAATATGATTGATTCTTACTCACTCTCACCGGCCCGCCTTTTCCACCAAAGTCTTCCTTATTGATTTCGCTCATGTGATGAGGATCGGCGACGACTTTTTCTAGTACTCGACAAGTTGCTTGAATTAGCTGCTGAAAGATCATGTTTGAGTATGGACCTTAATACATTAATATTTGGAACATTTTACACTCGAATCCAGAAATTAGATTCAAGCGTCCAATGCTTATTTACTTACCGCATGATCCTCATGAGCAAGTGTTACAATTCGCTCTTGTGAGTTCTGAGCCTCGGAAGAACCTGCTTTGGGAAACACCTGCAAAGAAGAAGTGTAGATCAAGCAAATCCGAAAACTCAAGATCTTAGAGTCCATCTCCAAAAACTAGCCTGAATCTGACATCCATAAGTTTCACGGATATCCTTGATGTTTGTGCCCGATTTTCCTATGACCATACCAGCTGACGTGTTTGGCATAACTATTTTTACCTGCAAGCTTGATTTAGAGACGGAATTTCCGATTAGACAGCCCATAAGAATCAATGCAGAGGTGGTGAGCGGTGCCAGGATAAAGACAAAGCCATTAGGGACCGTCCAGAGAAATGGGAACCCTTCTCTGCCGCTGATTTCTGCACTAACTCAATCAGAGCAGCCCTATTCAATGGTAGCGCTCTCTCTGTTGAGCGGACAGAAACCTGAGGTGAGTGGTTAGCCAGTCGGTGGGTGAAGATGATGTTTGTTGATACACAAAATAAAAACAGTGTGTTCCTTATACCTAGCTCTGCAGGAATCGTGACCGCATTTTCGCAATTACCACATCATCACTGATTCAAAAACTAGAAAACTAAGATCGTTAATGGAAAGAAACCTCGTTCCCACGGCTGACTCCCTTGTGATCAAACGCGTCAGAATTGGTAGAACCTTCACACTTCTCGTTAATCTTCTGCAGTATAACATCAATGACACCCAGCACGTTTTGTACGCGTCCTTTCACCAGACAAATTCGCTCGCTAGTTCCTAAAACCAAATCGTAACTATGCTCTTCACGCATTTCGCTGAAAACAGCAAAGCACTTTCAACATTGAAAACAACGCTCACCTGGATATGTCTCGGAACTCTTGCTCATCTGAACACGGCACTGGTGATCATTTTTCAAATTTCTCATTGCTTCACCACCTTTACCAATTATCGCTCCCACCGCCGCCGAAGGAATCAAAATTTTCACAGCTAGCTGATCTGTATATTGTAGATAGTAAATGTGTGAACGACAAATAAATGTATGAATAAAATGCAAACTCACTGTCGTCTCCTTCAACATGTGCTCTCTTGGTTGCGGGACCATCGAGTGAATCCTGACCTCGTTTTGTGCCTGCAGACTGCAGTACAGAGTTTGCCTCTTCACTTCTAATGTTATTATTGTCGCTCATAACTACGGCCAGGTGTTCACTGAAAATACATGATAGAAAGGGTGAGTGCAAAACTAGCAGGGCAGGCGATATACTCGATTCTCGAATACGGTGAGTATTCAATGTGAGCGATAACGTCATGAGATGCTATGAGAATCCATATAACTGAGTGTTAACGGTGGAAGAGTTGCGGATTGCGTGGGCAGCCTTCGTTTTCCCGGAGCTCCTCCCTTCCTGATTAAACCCTATGAGCCAAAAGAGAGGCAATACTCCAAATCTGCAAAAAAACAAAGATAAGAAGAAACAGCAAAAATGAAAAGATGAAGGCCATAGCAGTCATGCGCTAACTGCGTGCCCAACATTTGCGGAAATCGAGCATACTCTGCCCCCTTCCCTCACCCACCCACAGTCCAACTCGTTTACAGCGATGATACATATAGACATATGAACACTTGTCTATATCATCCATCACATGGACATTGAAACCTCAACGAGAAGTTGAAACCAAGAACTGCCCATGCTAATGTACGGGCGCAGGCAGACTTCGTACCAGCAACAGTAAACCGATTTTTAGCAAGAAAGGAAGCCTAGAGGTTGGTGAACGGTTTGCCTACATAGAAAGGCAAAAACGAATGCGAAAATGGGAGCTTACGGGTAAGAGGCGCTTAATGGAGTGCTAAGCAATTCTCCTAGCAATGTCTAGGCCTTTGAAGCGACGACACGGTCGAAACATTGGCCAAAATGAACCTTCCATTTGACAACCTCGAAGCACAAGTATGAAACAATAACATCAACTAAAATGCCGAAATTTCAAGATGAGAGGACACGGACTTTACACGAAAATTAAGTTTTTTGGGTACCTACACTACATACATTCAAAGAGAATAATCTTGAGTTTGAAAAACTATTGGAGCTCATGTCGCTAAGGAGATGGAGGAGACATACAAGTGAGTGAGCCAATGCACTGCTTGGGACAAAGTCTCAAGGAAGCGATGTGAATCTGGGAGAGGATGGAAGCTTGCACTCCCTGCCATCAAAAAATGAGCGTCAAACTACCTTTCCATCTAACATGAACAAACATAGGTGCTATACAAGTGGGGTGGGCACGCCCAGCTTTTCACGCATGTCAAGTGACTGCCCTCACCCCCACCCCCTAGATTGGCTACACTCCCCTGGCTCACGAATTCCCCGATTCTCGTGACAGTATAGTAGCGGCAGCAGTCCCACTTACATACATTTCTGTTCAAAAAATGCGGCGTGCCCACCCTACTTGTATAGCACCCAAACACACTTTGTTCCATATTAAACAAAACAATTTAACTGTAAACTAAATAACCTAATTTTAGCCGAATAGAGTTCTGTATCATCTTGGCTTGTGGCTTTGGAGCGAATCTAAGAAGAGTACCACAACTCGGCCACAATTCATCGAATGTCGAACTTGTGTGCTGGGGATACAATTTGTTCTCGACTCCGTATGGAAAAGGCCTCGGCCTACTTCGTTTCGGCCTCTAACGCGCTGCGCACAACGGTACGCACCTGCACAGCGTTCTGTACATGTTGCTCAATACTGCACTTCCAACAGTTCTTCATGCCGACAGTGAGTTAACGATGATGGAACTTTCTTTTTATACCATTTTTACACTGTATGTTCCATTGAATAACCTAATCTGAGTGTTCAGGTAGGCTGCCAAAATTCGTCGGAACCTCTCGGGGTAGCTTGATGTACTGCGATTGAGTTAATAAAGGATCCAGCATTGCAAAAAATTTGATCCTCATGACTCGAGTGGCGAATACGAAATAAAGAGCGCATTGTCCATGATCTCATGTGTGAACACTAGGTCCCACAACACAGCTCATTTTCGATATCGAGATGTTATGTGTTATGAAACTTCTGGAAGTCTGAAAGCAACTCACTTTACGGGCACCCCCTCCCAGCTATCCAATCGCGACCATGCGATTATTGTTCCTCTTACAAAACTGTAGTGGATGCGAGTACGAGCGATAATCTGAGTGTATCATTTCCGGCTGATTCAGAAACTTCATGGCGAAGCCCATTCAGAAGCCCCATGGCACTCTTATTAATATGGTTGATGCTATGCATAAATTTAGTGTGTTTCAAGTTTTGTTTTTTTGATTGACCGTTTGTGGACACATCCTTGTAATGTGTTTGAGTGAATGAATAAATAAATCTTTCTAATATCGTATGAACTTGGAAAAAGGAGGACAGTTCTAAAAGCGAAAGCTTATTTCATGGGTTATGCGTTTAACGACGGAGCTACTTGCTACATCTAAATCTTCGCCCTAATGCATCTGAAACCAGCGCTCTTGAATTAAATTGTAAAAGGTGTGAGTATTGAAGGGAGTCGAGTTGAAACCTTCCGGGGGAGGACTAGTAATATTAGCGCTACTGTTTCACAACCCAGCATTCTTGTGGACCATTCGCAAGGCGCGAACACTGGCCAAAAACAACAGGTAACAAACAAAAACAACTCTAGAATCATTGACGCTACCATTGTTTTCCTATGGTCAGTGACGGCGAGGAGATAGGCCGGACGCATAGTCGGTCGGACGACAGCAACGACTGCAAGTGTCGCACAGCATTGGGTGCGTATCGATCTGCGACACCTGCGGTCGTTGCTGTCGTCCGACCGCTGCTGTCGCAACGACCGCAAGTGTCGCATAAACCGCGGTTGCAAATGGAAGGCGACGCGGTAAGTGTCGTAGATCAATACGCAGCTACTATTCCACACTACAGTGGGACTTTCGAAATACGATCACGCGCAGTCACGTGTTGTCTGGGTTAGCATTGGGTGACCGCGTCGCCTTCCATTTGCAACCGCGGTTTATGCGACACTTGCGGTCGTTGCTGTCGTCCGACCGACTATGCGTCCGGCCTAACGCGGCTAATTCTGTGTTCGCGCTCCATCGCCAATGCACACACGCAACACGCGCTGCGCAGCACGCCGGCCTCTTGCGATCGGTGGAATCGACTTGGATGCTCTCACGGCGTCTTCATCTAAGAAAGCTACTGTTTTGGTGTGGGATTTATCTGAAAGCTTTTTTAACTCGATTAAAGTTCATTCTGCGAGTGTAGGCTCGATTTAATGGAGGGAGGGGGCGTAGAGGAGGAGCCGAGCAGTCCAAGC